GTGGTAGTGGCAGTGGTAGTGGTACTAGTAGCAGTAATAGTAGCAGCAATAGTGGTCGTCGTCTTCGTCGTTGTACTGTCATACACACCCAAAGCGCCTTTCTCACGACAACTAGCAACCAGGGGTAAATAAGTAAAGATTAGCACGTTATAGCATAACATATGAAACACGCGTGTGTGCACGCAAACGCAACGAGATAGGTCCCTCCAAAATGCTTCTTCCCAGTGTCTGCTGCCCGCGGAAGGCGGGCGCAACGGGCCTGCAAGGGTCACGTTGAACCTCACAGTGGGCAGGGCGCGCCTGAGTAGGGCAAGGCTGCGGGCCCGACGTCGCAACACAACCGGATAAAAAGGAACAGTGACGGAGTCCATGTGTGCTGGAAGAGGAGCCAGGCTCCAAGCTATCACAAACATCGGAAAGTTGCTGCTGCATTTGCGCCTGATGCAGCGCAATTTGGTTTACGAGTTGCAACGGACTTTGCATCTCAAGAGATGGCAGCAGCGGCAGCATCACCATTTGCAGCTGGCACCGACGGGGCTCTGGCAGGAGGAACACCATTAGAGACAGCAGCGCGAGGCTCACCGGAAGGCGTTTCTAACTGTTGGATCTAAATCAACAAATGAATCCACTACTTGGGTAGCTTCAGCAGAGTCCAAGCTCCCCGTGAGTTCCGGAGGCTGGCCGCAAACCAATAAGCGCTAGGCCGCTACGCCCGTCCAATCGTGTGTGCATGACGGCATGCCTCGCGTCTGCTTCCACGGTTAGTCGGAGGCCGAGGCAGCCACGACTAGGGCTGGCCACAGCCCCTTGCTCGTAGTGCTGAAGTCGCATCATGCCAAATTCCCGGTTCGTCGCCAAAGGTGCTACACAGGTACAGTTTCAATTGAACTTTTGGAACTTCGAATTACTGTCTACCACTTCAACATGCCCTTGACTCGAGCCGTGCACATGCGCTCCAGCTACCGCGTCTGAAATCTTTTGTCCCAAACAACTGGGAATAGGTTTGCAAAAGCATCCTGCGCTGATGCAAATGTTGGACTGGCAGCGTTGGCCATAACAATTGATCGGCGAGCCGCAAACGCTTCACCTCGTCATCTAATGACCGGGCCACGCGATCTGGGCGGGGCAATGTGCAATGATGTCACCCTCGTTCGGCTATCAACCGCGATGGCCTGCCCCATCCCGAAGCAGCGGCGGAAGATGGATCTGTTTTGCGGGCCGCTTCGTGGCGCAAGCCCGCCACCTACCTCGCACTAACTCTTGGGGGGCGCAGTTGAACTCGGATGGTTTGCAGTTGCAAGCGGTTGGCCTGTGGCATCCTCTGGCACTCGAGTAAGCTCGGGTCATGCTGGCTCATGCCACTGCGAGGCCCCGGGACCTCGCTGGGACGCCTGTCGTGGCGTTTCTTGGCTGCCGGGACATGTCGCACGACCTGGTAATCTTTCTCGAATCATCACTTGTAAGCTCCCAAGCCTCGGCCCGAAGACGGCGAACCACGTTGCGGCCGCGTGGGGGTCACTAATGGTCCATGCCGTCATATTTGTATCAAGCATTGTCGAGCTGCAGCAGTTGCTCTGTGCCGTATGTCTGCAAAATGGTCCCATCCTTCCGTTGCAACCCAGCACGAGGAAACTATGTTCAACCACCATCTGCCCTGATACACGTGGACGGTGGCACCTTTCATCAACGTGGGTTTTGCTTTTATAGCAGCAAGGTTGGCCAGCGGCCAATGGACAGCTTCGACAGTGAGGGAAGCATGCTTCCTTTTCCTGTGTTGGCGGTGGTCCAGCTGGATTTGGCGCTGGGTTTCTGAACCCACAGCGCCTGGACTTCGATGCAGTGGTCTTGGGGGCGCCATGTGCAGTGGGGCACGCAAGAGTTCGCCCGTCTGCCAAGGGAAGATGTGAAGCGTGATTATTTGTGCGTCACGAGTCGAAGCCGACGGCTTTTTGTTTATTACACGGACCTGGATGCAGTGACGGCTTGGCACTACACTCGTCACTCGGCCAAGGCTACATCCCTGTGCTGGGCTGGCCAGCTAGGCGTTGACGATGAGAAGTAGTCTACGCACTGCACCATCACCAAATCGGTCGAGAAATACAAGCGTGATCACGTGCTGTTGGCGAGGCAGGAGACAATCCTCAAGGCGATTTGCCCTGCACAACGCAGGGTCAAGCATGCGAGAGACCAGCAAGGACAGCTGTGGGGTACACAGACTCGGCGGATACGCGCACGCAGACGAACCCTCGTGGCAGGAAATGATTCGTACGTATCTGTATGTTGACATCCAGGCTGAGCCCGATGGAGGGAAGGATTGGACTTTGTTCCCTATAGGTGCATCGTGAAGAACACAACAGTGCAGGCACCCGTGTCATGGGTGTGCTTTCGAAGTTCTGTTCTGGGGCATTGCAAGTCGCAATCGCGGCTACCCGGAACGAACGACCAGTGGCTTGCGGCGACGAATCGCTTCGATCAGCGAAGCGCGCGACACCAACGGCAAATGCTGACTGCCACTACTTAAACGGCAGTCCTCGGCCGACTGCAAGGCGCAAGCAAACATGGCGGGTGTGAGCCGGTGCACTGCCTACAAACTGCGGCGTCACGGGTTCCGTTCCAACGAACGAGGAAGTGAATGGGAAGAGCGGCGGGTCTGCGCCGCACGAGATCTGAGGACTGCACTTGCAGTCGCCGTAATGGACACCGCCAATCAAGTGAAACCGGCCTTCCTGCGCGAATGTCCGCAAATATCAACAGTGAGAGTTGGACTCGGAAAGCAGCCACGAGCTCGCTCAAGGACACCGCGACTGACAGAGAAAGGGACAGTGAGAGACAGAGAGCGAGGCATCTGCAGCCACAATTCTTTCGCCGAGCGCAGCATGGACTGCACGGTATCGTAACAGATGGAAACGATTTCGCTCGTCGTGGCACGGTGCAGTGTCGGACAGAGGTGGAAACATCTCGCATGAATTGCTGTGCTTGCTGCAAGCTCGGTCGGAGAAATGGACGAAAGACGCTCATATAAGGTCGGCCCAAGATCGGATGTCGGCGGAGACACGTTGAGCACATAGTCCTGCAGCTGTGAAAACAGTTGAGTGGCCACATCCAGCCATACCGGCGATGCCAAGCTCCAACCGGCCATCATGAACCTTCGCGAAATTTTTGTTGGCTGGGAACACAGCCAGCGCCAGAAGCAGCAATGACGACTTACCCATGCACTGCTACGTCCATCGTGCAATGAATAACTCTTCATCTCAAGCCTCAAAACTTTTCGCTGCTGGACAACGTCGACAGGCCTCCAACGCAAAGCCGGGCAGCATGCATGAGGTGTGCGCATGCGGCTTCCTTGCCCGATCCAGACAGGACAAGCAGTCAGACAGAAAACGGCAGGGCTTGACGACGGCAAAAGGTCCGAATGCAGCCCAGTGGTCGGTGCTCGGGAACGCCGCGTGTTGGTGTTTACATCTGACAGCGGTGGCAGCAGCATTGGCACTCCGGCGCTCGCTCACCCTGATGACAACGGGTCGGGCACACGCCTGTCCTGGAGTCGGAAGGTGCTTCGTACCATGCCCGCAATGTTGCGCCGACGCTGCTTCTCTCTCCGGTACGCTTCGTCGTCGACGTTTCCCGTGGTGCTTCTTTCCCAGACGAAGGTCAGCTTTCAACCCCCCCACCTGCACGAGGTCGCCGATGTACAAGCCGTGCACATTGCAGAACTCATAGGGCCTTCCCGAATTTAGGAGGGGTCTTCGGCTTCGAGCACCATAAGTACCCCCTTCGGAGTATACCCTCCTTTGGCCGCTGTGGTGCCGGACCGAAGCTCGCATATTGGCGCATTGGAAAAGTACCCTCAAAACCGCGACACAGCTCATGTGTGCAGCTCGCCTCAGAAAGGGGATGTTCTCGGGTACCTGCCACCAGGACGTCAGCCACTGCCACTGGAGGCTTTAAGAGTTAAAGCCTAAGGCCTAACGCCGAAGGCTTCAGCACGAGCTGACTAGCTGGGTGGGCAGAAGAAGATGATGACAATGCCATGATGTTGCTGTTGATCGCCCTCGCTACTACCTACCAACAACCACATGTCGCCGCCCGCGTCTCCGTCGAAACTTGATGCGAGCGCCTGGAAAGTGCAGGACGCCGGAACCTCAGCTTCGGGTCTTGAATGGTTTAATGCTTTTGATTCGTTCCACACAGCTTTTCACGACAAGACTTGTGTAATTACTGGGCTAAGTGAACTCCCGCGCTGCCTATGCAGGTTGCACTGAGACCCCCAAGTGTGCTCACTGATTTCTGAAAAGATAGGTAGTCTATGCCAACGAACCCTAGAGCCACTGACCACTGAAATGAGAAGCTCCCAAAAAACCCTGTCAATCCAAACATCCAAATGTAGAAAAAAAACAAGAACGCCTCCTGACTCCCCAACCCTAAACTCCAAGCTTTCGTCCTACCGCTCCTACCCGCAGATCTGAAGAACGGTCCGGGAGCTGGGTCTGTTGGCAAAAGTTCACACATAGCCACCAGATTCCCCAAGTCGTCCACTGCCTTTCCAGCGAGGTTCTTCTTGGCAGCTGTTTTGAGAAGAATAAAGCTTGGGGGCTTAGAACGTAAGGTCAAAGGGCGCAGACACTTCAGGCTTTGGGGCTGGTCGGCAGCTCGGGTAAATTTTAGGGCTTAGGGGTTTTGAGGGTGAAGTTTAAGGGAGACTGGCCTCTGCTACTGGCAGCCCCAACACAGAAGGAACAACAGCTAGGGCCTGTGAGCTCTAGACCTCTGCTAATCACCCAAACCTCCTAACTCGACCCCAGCGCCAACTCCAAAAAGTCCGATACATATAAGTGCCTAAACCCCACTGCAAAGACTCGGCGCGTAGATGTGCGAAATCCAGTGAGCGAAGTCTTTGTCGTCCGAGGGCGTCATGGGGTGAACCAAGCCGCCTTCGTTTCCTGGGCTCAGGCACCGGCAGGTTCCTTAAAACCAGCGGAACCTGATAAAAAAAGTTGCCATAATCAGGATCCTTCTGTTTAGGGTCCATGGTAGGGCGCATCAACTTCTGAAACTCCTCATGGCAGCTAAAGGTTAACTGTTGCAGGTGCCTAGAGTTTCGAGCACCCTAAAAAGACTAAGTATCACGTAATCGAGTACTAAGCAGGACGTGGTCATTCAAGGGTCAGGGCCAGGGCAGTAGGGCTCGGAGCTTTATGCTTTTTTTGCGTGCTTCGGTTTGGATTCTGAGAATTCCTGGCAGTCTTCAGGCTCCAGGGCTTTTGAGGGCTCCGCTTGCCCCTGTTCGGTGCTCTTGGTGACGCATTGAAACTGTGCTCGCGTCCAGGTTGTTATGCCGTTATGCCCAAAGTCTCAAGTCCAGGGGCCTGGGGTGCCGCCGACACCGACCACGATGGTTGCAGTCGTACCGTTCACCACCAGGAAAGGAGTGTGCTTGCCTCAGGGGAACGGAAGTAAAGGCTGACAGTTTCGAATTCCGGTCAAGGGACAGCGAGTCCAATTCCTTGGTCTGTCTTCCTAAACGTCACCGATCCCTCCAACGCCAGCGTGGTCTGCTGGGAAAGAAACTCTGAGCTGTGCCTGTGGGGTCCGTCTTGGGCTGATAGTCCTCCCTTCGCATCAGCTCGCCAGCGAAGGCCTGGCAGTTGGAGACCTTGCCGCTCAAAGCAGTCGCTCTTGAGAGCCGAAATGATTAGAAGAGGCTTGCGGCGTGCAAGAAAACTTGTCCCTTTCACAAGCCAAGAAAAGTTGCTCAAGGTGAGCAGGGGGCTACATAACGTCATGCGCAGCTAAGTTGCTGCCCGGGGTACCGGACAGGTTCGGAAGAAGCTCTTCAGTTTAATGGGTGGTTTGAAACTTGCAGGTTCTCATTGGGGCGCGCCTGTCGGGTTCAGGGCTTTGGTCTTTCTTGGCTAAGGGCCTGATTTCCTGTTCGTGCCACCTCTAGGATGCTGCAGGGCAGGACCCACGGATGATTATCGAGAAGTACTGACTAGAGCAAACGTACTAAATATCATCACCGCCACCGCCATCCCCCTGATCATCCAAGTGATTGCGTTCCGAGGCAAGATTTTGCCAACCAATAGCCTAGCTATCTCACGACGATGCTCCTAATACCATGGGGTGATGGCAACAGTAGTAACCTAAACCCCCAGAAGTAGGTAAAATAATGGCCCAACACCTACAAAAGGCTTACAAAAGGCCATTATTCTACATAGTTTTGGGGTCCAGGCAGTACTGATGTAAGCTCGTCTAAACTTTGACTCTACCTTATTAACTGCCGCCATGGTCTGGAGTAAGCAGCTTCAGACTTCAGAACCACGGTGAGGTTTCTCAAGTCTTCAGTTTAAAAGTTTAGGGGTTTAGGGTTTAGTTTATAAGGGCTTGGGCCGAAACGCGCCGGATGTGACTCTGGGCAAAAAGACTTGTTAGCTCGCAGCCTACTTCTTGACTGTGTAAGTAGCTGCAGAGTGTGTGGTCGGCTAGGAGTCTACATGGGCATTAGGGGGAACACATACAAAACATGCTGCAAAAAAAGCCCCCAAGTCGTGCCCTTGCCGATAAGTTGCCGAGGTCCCTTCTGAGCACTGTTGTACAGAGCAGGCAGCAGGGGCGGAGGCGGAGGTCTGTCCGGAGGCGACGGACACGGCTGGACTGCGGTAGAGCCCATGCAGATTGCCTGGCACCGTTCGGGAGCCCGAAAGAAAAATCGCAACAACAAAACCAACCAAAGGCACAAAGCTCGAAGGCGCGCAGGCTCGTAGTGCCGGTCGGTATCTCGAAGTACATCCTGAGCGACGGCAGGCCCAAAGCCTAGCGCCTCAAGGCGGGTGTCAGAGCAAGAAAACGCGACTACGATTACGACCAGCAGCAGCACCACGTCTCAGGATTGCTACCACCACTACTCCCATGGGCAATCTCCACGACAGCAACAGTTCGACTGCAGTCTTGATGCTGCTGAGTCGGGTGGGTCTTGCTCTGATGTTAGACAAGCTTCGTGGCGGGAGCTGGCTCCGCCGGAGACAAATGGCGCATCGAGACCAGATTGCCTCGACTTTGCCGTCTATGCTCGGAAGCCCGCTGAATCCTATGAACTCACCCAGAAATTCAACCGCAGATATTGAAGTTGCATTAAGGCGCAAGGGCACACTCAATCCTTGGGTTCCTCGAGCCCTGGCTCCCTTCAACAAGGTCAGACCAGGGCCTCAATGTGGAACACCCGATAGGCGCTCTCCCCATCAAGAATCCCCCCTTAGAACATTAGAAAAAGCCTTAAATTTCAAGAAGTCCCCATCTGCTGCTCAATGGCCAGATTGGTCTTCCACCCAGATGAGTTGGATGAAGTGGATCACGTCGGGATCGTCCACCATCCTTACTTTCTCTGTTTCGCTCCAGTTGCTGGTCCGCTGTTATAAAGCCCAGAAGTCGCAAATCTTAAGCCCCGAACGGCCCTGTATCAGTTAGGTGTTACATTGGGCTCTCTGCGTAGCTCATGCAACCCCACACTGAAATCCTCTATAAACTCTGTATTGACCCCTCTTGGAGGACCTCTTCAAAGACACAAAGAGTAAACCCCGGAAGGAACAAACTCCCGAGCAACCTAAACCCAAACACCCGTTATAATCCCTTAGCCCGGAAGCCCCGAACATAAAAGGAAGTGCCGAAGCCCAAGGCCCGAGGATCGGATGGACCAGGTCGTTCGGATCTCCTGTCACAGCTCCTTTGCCCACCACGACCTGACAGGGTGTGCCACTGCTCTGAACTTTTGCAGTAGGACCCCCAGTGTGTTGCAGTATCGTAGCTACCCGTGCTTCAAACATGATGGATATCCTCGATGATTGCCAGTTTGTGGTTGTTGCTACCACTGCCTGCAAAAGCACATGAAAGCACGTGAGATTCCGGTGTCTTGACATAGCTGCTCCAGTATCAGGCACAGGCAGCCAAGCCCCAACTAGAGGTGTTGGCAGAGCCTTCAAAGTCCTGATTGTAGCACCTTAGTAAGCTACCATCGGCAACAACGCGACATGCCCCGGACCTTGGCATGCGTGGAATTGAGCACGATGAACGGGCTGTGTTTCTCCTTACCGGTTCAGGGTTTGGGGGTCAGGGTTTTCGGGCTCGTCTGAGGTTTCTGGAGTTTTAGAGGGCGCCAAGTCTAAGCTGCATTGCAAAGACCTGGAGAAGCTCTTAGACAGCAGTTGAGGAGGCGGATGTACGACTTCGTGCGACCTTGCCATGCCAGGAACACCATGGGTTCACCGGGCTTCACTTAGCTCCAAACCCCAAACCCTGCTTCAGCGCGGCCACAGAAAGAAAGGGACCTCTCAAGAAGGATGCGCATCCAAAGCCCTCTGGGCGAGGCCAAGCTGCGTCGATGCCCGCATCGACATACCTGAAGCAACTCGAACACCACCGATAGTCCCGCAACAACATTAAGTGAGGATAGGGAGGTGTAAGACGACCAGAAGGCAACCACACAACCCAAGAGACGAGCCATTTTTCTTTCATCTCCAAGTGACGGGATCGTTAGGCCAGCAGCCTCCTGCCATCGGTAGGCGTCTGCCTTCCAGGAGGTGCAGTCCATGTCATTCAAAACCGCCGTGGCATACCTCCAAAGTACCTCGGCTTGCGACCACATTACAGAATCTAAATCCACAAGGAGGAGAGGCCACATGATTGCAGCCCCTACTAGTACTGCAACGGCATCGTCCTAGACAGCACCACGTGGCATCAATGGAACTCTTGATGGACGTGACTGTAGCAGCATGTTGGGTATTTTTGCATTCGAATCATGACGGAAGATAACCGAAACACGGGTTGAAGCGCCCGGCTTGCTTCAGATGTCGCCTAGTCTATCTATCGCCTTGTACTTTCAGGTTCTTCGGGTCCCTTCGCAATCGAAGTACAGTGCTACAATCCTCCCAACCCGAATGTGATTAGTCAAGCACCTATACATGTGAGGGTTTGCATGCATTTTGTGCATCAAACTCTTGGGCCTTTCAAGAAGAAGCGGCAGGACCCTCAATCGATGCCCGCGGCACTGCGAACAACTCATGCCCCGATATGACAACCAGCGCTATGAACTCCAGAACCAGCCAGGGGAAGAGGCTTTAATCTTAGCCATGATGCTGCCAAGCAAGCTGTTGTCCGGAGCATGGTAGGTAGGCCTTGTCATGCATGACATAGGCACATTACACATCGGGGATATCTGCTGGGCCGCCGGATCTAGGAGTGCAGGGTTTTCAGGAGTGCAGGAGACAGGATCTTGCAGTCTAGGCTCCAGCGCGACCTGGAATGGAGCAGTCGGAGGCTCTGAACATGTGATATCTGGGATCATCGAACTTTCACACCAAAGTACGAGAGACGTCTACACTCAAAAAGGAGCTTCCGTGAAGGACGTCCGTAAGTGGACCGGGGTCGTGCAAGCTTCGATTGCCTTCAGATGACGCTGCTCTTCAAAATTCTTTGCTACTCACAACGTACCTCCAATTTCTTGGGGAACTATAGCTTCGGCTTTTCGGACTTCTGGGGACTGTGCGATTGAGCCACCGGGATCCGCGGTGCGGCTTTGTCCGAGCCGGAGCTGGGATTTACAACGCAACTCGGTAGAGTGGAGCTTTCCTTCATGCTTTTATATTTTTTTGGGGGCTATGCAGGAAAGACTTTGGCAAACTTCTGAAGCTCCCCTCGTGACTCTTTGAGTTGACTCCCTTCAGAACGTCTGAGCACCAAGCCGTCGTTGAACGCAAACCTGTGCTCAGTCCAGCATCAAGCCTGCGAACAGCACAACTACGGCTCAGCTTCACGCTTGAGAGTTAAGGTTTTGGGACTTTGTGGTGGAAGAGCCCCAAGACCAAAGCAGTAGTTTCGGATTCTCAAGGTCTTTGGTTTAAGATCCAGTTGCCAGGAAAGTAGTTCCAAAACCCTAAACCCTAAAGCCATAACTCTTTCTTCGACTTTTGGCATGTGCCATTTTCACCTCACAAATCACAAGGGCGTCCTGGACGGCAGCCAATCCTCGTATGTTGGGAGACGACGAGGACAACAACCGCGACAACAGCAACAACAGCGCCAGCAGCAAGAGCAGCAGCAGCAGCAAGAAGAAGAATAGGCAGAATAATAATTGAAACGACTAAAAGTAACAATACTATGAATACTAAAAAATAATAACAACAGCAGCAGCAACAGCAACACCAGCAACAACATGCGTCCCAAGCAACAGTAGAATCAACTGCACAGCAAGTATCTCAGGCACGACAAACACAAGAAAGCCAGCAGCAGCAACAGTAGCAGGAGCAGGAGCAGCTGCAGCAGCAGTGCTGCAACCCTAATGTTGGCGTTCTGATCGAAAACAGCCCCACATTTCCGCATGGGCCCAAAGACCTTATACAGAGTCTTGCACTCAACCCTCAAGGCCACGTATCCTTAGACCTCTAAGGCAAATTTCGGGTGAAAGCACCCAAGCCCTATTCTCCCAAAGTATGCCCCGGTCCTGGCTCTCGATACACCGCAGCATCTGAAAATCTTGACTACGTATCAGTCAGCTTGAGCCCGAGCAACAACCATGATCTCCTTTCCTTCAAGGCCTTAATCTCAGAGCTCCATCTAAAGTTACAGGTTTTGCCGCAGTACACAGTTATACATACCCGCAAGGCTCGACGTTCCGGTCAATGTGGACCCTAAGCCCCGATGCCGCTTAGTCGGCGAGACTGCTCCTGGACTTCTGGAGAAGACGAACATCCCAGGGAGGCAATGAAGTTTGCATCGAGGCTTCAGGGAGCTGGCACCTCAAAACACCCGAATGCGCTTTGTAAACACGTGGCCCGGCGGAGTGCTTCAAGCAAGGCGACTGAAGGGCTCTTGACTTGGGGAATGTGGGGCTCGCTGTAGGGAAGGGTAGATTGGCAATGCGTTGTTAGGTTTGCCGGGCCTTTAACTTTTGTATTTTTATCCTTGTTGTGCTCATGATGGAACGGCACGCATTTCTCGCCACAAATGCGCCTTCAGCTTCAGCTGCGCCGTCTTCTCTCGACGGGCTGTTAAAGAGTTCTGTGCGGAGCGAGGCATGAGGCCCGAAGAAGAACACCAAGCCATGTGTGCTTGTGTCGCTCGGTGTGTAGTTATAATAAAGAACCCCCTAAACCCGTATTGCCAAGTCTTCGAGGATCGGGCCTCAGAAAAAGACTACCGGTATCCCTCAGGACCCGGCAGCGAATAAAGCGAGCAAAGGGGGGGGGTGCTCCAAATTTAAACATTAGTTTCTTTGTTGAGCCCCGTTTTACCATAAGCAATAGGGCCTATAGGGTTTAGTTTTCTGAACTCCATAGGAGGGACTCGGATTAGGAGCAGCCCCCATCTCAGTCCACACCCAAAGAGGGATCACATCTCCATGGCTCATTGTTCAAATCGGTGGTGCTCAGATACCTGGGAGCTTCAGACAATTGGAGGTCCTTTCCCTTCGGGTCCTCATAGTGAGACTCCTAGTGTTTCAAGTCTATATTCGGTGCTCCTGTTAATGCGACAAGTACGGAGGGCCCAATTAAGGGACTGCGCATCATACTGTTAGACGGTGCACCATGCTTCAAGTAGCACTATATCCGTTTCTGCCTGCAGCAAACCCATCACCTCTACATCTACTCTAGATAGCTCCTGGGAGGGAGTGAGCGCCTGACCTACTTCCGAAACCGCAGTCTCTCGAAACTGGAGCCTTCTATGCGGCAACCTGAAGACTCCGAGGTATTCCAAGGGAGCTCAAGGTTCCGGCCAAGGAAACCCAGGATTGGGTTTCGAAGCGTCGGGTTTCGGATATAAGGCACACCTGAAAAAATATGCTTGGCTACAAAGTCTTTCTTGCGGGAGGTGTGGAAACAAAGTCACGACGACTCTAACCAAAAAATGAGACCTGGCATCGATGTGGGTTTGAGCCCGTCGTGTACGACCGACAGGCAAGTATTGCATTGTATCATATCATATCCTAGTATAAACAACTCTCCTATGCTCGAATTGTTCTTTTTGAAATTATGTTGCTGTATGTTCTATTGCAGGCCAAGACTTTCAGGTGTTGCTCCCTTGATTCGCTCATCTACTTCAACAGGCTGGGATCTCAACCACCAGCCGCGCCATGCCAGACAGGGAGTACGGAAGATGCTCTCGGCGACTATGAAGGTTCCAGCTCCTAAGGCACCTTTAGGATTACAAGGAAATGACATTCGACCAATGTTGACTCAGCTGCACCGAGAGACTTCCGTAGGGGTCTGTATTACCAATCGAAAACGAGTAGCCGGAAAGGAAACAATCCATGTAGCCACAGCTGTCTTTTTAAGAGCCACTGACAGACTCGTGACACGAACCCGTAACCTTGCGTCGAAGGAGCCCGGCATATCAAAGCCTAAGTTATAACACGCAAATAGGATGCTATACCTGAAGGCCCACATGCAAAGCCTGGAGCCCTAAACATCAAGACCCCCAAACTAAAACCCATGAGCCTAGGCCTCAAGCCTAGAACCGGAAAGCGAAGTCTAGGCCTTAAAGGCTAAGTGAATGCCCTAAACATGAGAGTCGAAATACAGCATCAAACTCCTCATCGCTCAACCCAAACCGACTAAGGGCAGACCACAAAGCCTCGAAGTCGAACTAAACCCCTGAACCCCTAAACCTCTTGATCCACGGAACTCCAGCTCGTCTGGCAAGGCAGTGAGGCTCTCAATGCCGTTGCTCCTTGGCTTGGTGGCTTCATACAAGATGGGGCTTTGTGTTTAGGTGCGGTGTCAAGTTTCCGACCCTCCCCCCAGTTAAAGATCCTCATCTGTTCCTGTGGTCTCTTGCACCTGACCCTTCGAATCGCAACTCCGCCATCCGCCAGGTAAGGTGCATTCTTGAAAGTGTCCCGACTTCTCCTAACACAAACCTACACCCTAAACTCTAAACCCCAAGCATCCTAATTCCCTAAATCGCAGAGAGCTCCAAAGCTTCAGCCGCGGATCTGGTTGTAGAGGTCACTCTGTCGAACGGCCGCCAGGAGCTGGCTGGAGCCTGCTCCGAAGCGACTTCAAAGGATCCCAAGAGGTTTCTATAGGGAAGGAAGGATATGGAGTTCATAGCAAGGCGTCATAAAGCTTGTAGGATTTCAGGACGACGTTCTTCCTACTCGTCATGCTAGGGACAAACCGAGGAATAATCCTGTGGCGGGGATGTGCCGATGTTGCCGGTTGTTCCGGGTAGACTGCTCAGGTTTGACTGCTTAGGCTTAGGCTTTGACTGCTTCACTTCTGGGTGCATGAATCGTGTGTGTGTGGGTCGGTCGTTAACTCATGCTTCTCCGTGGTTTCCTCTCATGGTGACTCCTGGTTATCTAGCTAAGGCTCACCACCTGGTTTTGGCTCTCGCGCAGCTTCGCGGCCTCGCCCGGTTACCGAAAAGAGCCATCGGAAGCTACCAAAGTGAGGAGCAGGGGATCCTCAAGTCTGCAAAAACGGTCTAGGGTTGCGAGCAGGGATTCCAGAAAACCCGACATGTTTGGGCTTTTGCGCTTCAGCACGCAGCACCTGTCACGTTTGGTTCGGGCTTGTACTCCAGAGGCATGTTGCGTAGGCACCTTGGCTAACACGCTAACCAGCTCGACTAACGGGGATTGCTTCT